CTGTCGTTGATTCTAAAAGTTGTTGGGTCGCGAAATAACGAACCAGGAAGAAGTACACACTTACTTTGAAGTATTATATTTATTACAAACATGTCGGCACTTGGGCGAAAAACAAACAGGGCGTAGCTTGGGGACACACGCGAGATACGAGACACTTACTGATATCGGTAGCATTCATCGCGTACTCTCGAACGTGCGCGATATCATCGGCAGGCGCGAGTACATACATATATTGGCACGGGCGTGCGATATGCCGGCACGCTTCTTGTAACAGGGTACTCCGTAAAATTGAGTTCGAACTCTAGCGATAATATAGACCCTCGAACAATGAGTGTTTGAGGAACGCAAATCTCTTTTGGGAATCAGTGTTAGTCCGGGCAATAAACAACGATAAGACAAGTTAACGAAGAGCATAGAAATAAAATATAATATACATGTAACATACAGACACACAAAAATTACGAAAAATAGAAAATTTACACGGGAAATAAGAAATTGATATTAAATGAATTTAGTTGCAACCAAATTGAACTAGTCTGATACTTTCAAGCACGCTGTTCTTGAAAAGTATGAGAGAAGAAAAGTACGCGCGAGTATTGATAATCGAAGCGGAGCAAAGGAATCTGTATGTATATGAAAAAGTATTGTATATGAAAAACGATGGAGAATGTCCAAAATGAAATAAAAGTTACGTTAATAAGTCTTGATGGTGGATCCAAATATCGTTAGTTTAAGCGTTACAAAACATCTCGCGTAGCAAAAATGCGTCGAGTTTCGCGTTTGCCAGAAAACCGTCGGTGTCTTCGCTTGCATTGGACGTTTATCAAGCGCCAAGTAGGCGCCTGCTAGGAGCCGCGTGAAATCGCAACATCGAAACGGGCGGGCGAAATATGCGTCTTTCAAGCACTTGAAACGCGCGTTGCACGGAACGGCGTGCTCGAGGTTCGTTTGAAAGAAAATGCCCGACAACACCCTGTCTTTACGACCGTGCGAATCGTAGACCTGAAGTTTCGAGGCCCTCTTGAGACGCGTGCCAGCCCATTCTCGGAAAGCTTCGATTACGAAACAGTCGTTCTCCGGTGATCGTTCGCCGGTGGTGCGTTCTACCCGCGGGTAATAACGAGTCTGACGAAAGAGAACGGGGAACGAGGCGACTTCTCCGCCCTTAGATGGCTGGCGAGTACTCGAGAAGAGGCTTCATCTTCGAGGAGTGCTCCTTTGGCAGAGGGACAAGAGAGCGAGATAACCGGGCACCCCGGTACCATGGCGATGCAAACGACGTAACGCGTTATAGAGTATCGACCTGTTGGCACCCCTGCTGCCTCTGCAGCTGTTCCATGCATCTCTATCTTTAGCTCGGACCGGCCCATCGCATGGGACTCTCCCATAGCCATGGTGGCAACTCTCCCTTCGCCGTCTCTCGTTTCTTTACTCTTTCTCTCCTTTCTCTCTCGCTCTTTTATTTCCTTTCTCCCATTTTCTCTGTCTCTCTCTCTCTCTCTCTCTCTTATATATATATATATATATATATATATATATATATATATATATATATATATATATATTCTCCTTCGTCTATCGTAATATGCTCGTCTATATACAGGGCGCGCATTGTACTTTGCTCCTGTGAAGACGCCACTCCGCACCCTGCTGTCCTTCCATTACGACCGGACGAGAGACAGGCTCAACAAAGAGTAGTCCAATGTCTCGTCGCTGCTCAAGGTGCTCGCTCGACGAATTAATCGAAATCTATACATCGTCTCATAGCGACGTCTTCGAGACAGAATTAGCCTCGAGCGGTTCGAGAAGAAAACGCTTTCGATTCGCTAGACCGGTTCTCGCCGAGAGACACCTGTCGCGAACTCGACCACGCTCGAAAAGAGACGAGCGACGAGCGGCTCGGCGCGAAACAGAGAAGGGACACGGGCAAGAATTCAGGGATGAAAGAGAGGAAAAAGAGAGAAAGACGAGGAACGATCATGCAACCGTTCGATCGGTGCAGTTATCCGAACTCCTTCCTTTCTTTTCATTAATCACAGTGCGCCTTCGTTCATTCGAGCCACCTGCTCTCCCTTCCTCCCTCTCTTCTCACTCTTTGAAAATCGTCGGCCGACAGGTACGTGTCCAGAACGATGAAAAATAATTAGATGTAATTGGACGTTGCGTGCACGATTTTTTCCAGAGCTCCATTCTCGGATTCTCTTATCTCGGCACCAAATACATATTACACATTTCGAAAGTGCACGCGAAGTAGCGTCGACTTGGAGCGTACACGGTTGAGTTAACGCATTGGAATGTCGAGCAGAGAGAAAGAGAGAGAGAGAGAGAGAGAGAGAGAAAGAAAGAGAGGCGAGGGTGGTTCGAAAGAATAAAAAATGGATCTCGCCCTTTCTCCTCTTCTTCTATTCCCCGAAGAAAGCGCGCAGTATACCGTGACATAATCGATAAGAAGCATTTTCCGTCGCGAAACCCGTATCATGACCCTTCTTTCTCTCTCTTTCTTTCTCTCTGCCTCTCCCTCTCTATTTACCGATCCAGTTTCCGTGTTTTCGCCGTTTCGTTGGAATCCACGATTACGCGGCAAGTAAAGTCATTAACGTGGTTGAGGTTGAATTGACCACGAGGAAACAATTTGTTCGAAGTAGTAATCGCCTTGCTGGCTGTCTCTATGGTTGTCCGTTCGCGCGTCCAGCCCGTTTCCTTTTGCTCTTTTCTCCTGCGAGTGCAGCACACCGCGTGTAGCATGCGTCGTGTTTGCTTCTACTGCGCTCGCGTATGCGCCACGGACAATGGATCGGCTTTTCCTTCGATAACCGGCGACATATCAAACCCACGGGTTTCTCCGGTGAATGGAAACCATAGAGAGTGGGCCTACTGTCGCGTACATTCGTAACGTAGAACTCTGCTGCTTGTAGAAATCGTTGGCCGTTATCGTTGAACGCTGCGCGTAATTTTCTTCTTCGGTCGTCGCTGCGTTTACACCAGTTTCAGCGATCGTTGGCATAGATTCGAACAACGTAGAACACGGTTCGTCGAATCCCTCGTCGCGACACGAACTGACCTGGGGTTCCTTAATGAAGTTAGGTCCCCTCTTGTCATCGTCGTGCCTCGTAAGAAGGCCTCGACACGAGCCAGTCCGGTTCGATAATGTCCCGGCGAAATTGCAATGGGCATAAAAGTTCCCTTCCATTGGACGATCATCCCTGGAACATTAAAGAACATCGAACGAAATTGCCTCGTTCGGTGAAAAATCACCATCGAAAACCGATAAGCTCCACTCCGTGCAACGACGAGGCGCCACAATTATCGTTTGTCCCTTTGCAGCGGTGAAGTAATCACGACACGGTCTTGATTAAAATACGCATCGATGGCGCCAGACGAATTTTTCTTTCCTTTTTTTCTTCTTTCGGTGTTGCGGAAACTCGTCGTGTGCGTTAAATTTCGGAGTTGATGGGAGACTATGTTTCTTGAAGAATCGGGTTCGATAAAATTGCTGAAACTTCTCTATTGACTGTCGCCAAGAAGAAATCTGGATCGATACTACGTCGATCGAAATAGATAAATTTATATCACAATAATAATCCTGACACAACTGCGAGCAATGATAAAAAATATGAACAACATAGAAGTATGACCGATTAAAATCCACATCGTATACGATCTTCTTTTCTTCGTGACATGGAACGTGATGCAGAGTTTAAGACGACTTAACATCGTAATCCTCGCTGATAAAGCTATCTCTCTGGCTGCATACTTTTTCTGATTACCTGTGTCCGTTTTGTAGAAACGTTATCACGGGTTAGACGCATATCAACGACGAATAATCGCGTTATCTTTCGATTTACAGCGCGAGTCATATTTAGAATTGAATTCGGGTCAGGAGGATCGATCGATTTCTATATTTGCAAAAGTTTCTAAGTGACGCGAAACCAGTCCTTGGAGTATGATAACAATATTGACAGTCTGCAAAGTTCGAGTACGTATTCTTGCGCTTCTGCGCACGTAGTCCCTCGTGGTGTGCCGGTGATATCAACGACGGTCGAATGCATGATTATCGTTGTAACAGGAAACTCCGGGTGTGTCACGATAACGTCGCGAAGATTTTATTTATGCATAAGTATTGCACGATGCATTCTTTCAATCGGAAATTGAAAAGTTAGCATTCACGAAAACGTGTCATAGGCAGGAGCATTCTCCAAAACGACGATTGACACACACAAATTGTAACAATCGCCGTGAGATATTCATATTATACATATTAAATAAAATTACGCATTTTTTAAACAAATAGGTTTTTCTTTCATGTTCTCAACTTGTACGCTTACTGACTCTATTTGTCAAAGAGAAAGATGATGATACAACGAAATCATAATCACGGTGCATTGCACTGTATTATAAATGCAGATGCGCTTCTATTATGTAACGCTTAAATGTTTTACGTTAGTGAATTAGAAAGTTATGAAAAGATGACTGCTGCATCTTTCCTCCAATAGACGCTTCCTTAGCGTGTTCGTTTATTTTCTTTCCCCGTGGTAACAAGAAAATTAAATCGTTTCGATATCTAGGAAATAACGAACGGAGAATGATACGTAAAGTGGTGCAATGAAAGAGCCAACTGTAATTTAAATGATGTATATATTATACGTTAATTCGGTGCTCCATAAATGTATGAATGTGCACATAAACACAAGTGTCCGAGGATAACTGTAGTAAAATTTAAAATTTGTAACAACTACCTATGTGGTTGTGTTTTCTCTTTTGTTTTCCAGTTGTTGGAAATTGTAAAAATAGAAAACTAAGAAAAGGATGGAATTAGAAAACAGACATTAATCTTTTTCGGGATAGTTCATTATGTACATAGTAAAAACAATTGAGAAATATCTGAAGTATTCCTTGCCTAAAGTATTCATTTTATTTCTCAAGTTTATATTCAAACGTCAATTTGAACAGAAGACGAAAACTCAATGATAGAGAGTAAAAATTAGCTGGAGAGAACTCACCGGCAATGACCGTATCCTGAAGATTGTACTTGCTGGAACCAGTTTTCCCGACTTTCGGAAAGTCCTTAAGTTTTCGACCGCTAAGCTTGAGCTCGCCACTCAAGTGTGCTTCCTCCAGGATTCGCTCGAGACTTCTGGTGAGCTGCTTTTGTATGTGGCCGCTCATGTTCGTCGCGACCATCGCCATATTACATTTTTTCGGGCACGTATACGCGGAAAGCACAACAGTGAATATCTTCCCTGGCGTACTAGCCACTCGTCTTTTGAACGACGAGGCGAGATGGTCTAAAAACTCTCAACACCCACAAACTTCTCCCGATACTTGCTCCTGCGCTACTGATCACAGCTTGGTAAAGCGCATGGATGCAAACGACGCGAGCGCCCTCGTTTAGACGCCATCTTAAAGACAACATACACTCGACTTTGTTCGAGAAATCGTAATTATAATCGATCGTTCAACTTCGATAATCCGTTTGACATTTGACAGTTGGTTCTCGCTTTGCATTTGATCGTAACGTGATTATCTGATTCATGTGAAATTATGACAAACGTGAACGTAAAGCGTGCAAAATAACTAGAAAATGAAACATTGGGAAATTAATTGAAGTTCCATGTATCAGGTACGTATGTTTTTAATGTTTTTAATTTCAAAATTTTAGAAAATCCTTTAAATGTAATGTTACATTTGAATTAAATACACGTAATTCTATACCTATGATATCTTACATTCATTTCGTTTCGTTATACGTCAATGTTTGTTATATATGCATATAACAAAATATTTCGGAAAAATATTTCGGAAAAATAATTCGTTGAACGCGATGAAAACTATTATCTATTCACTATTTATATGAATTCGCTAATTTTTTTTTTGTTGCGCCTCCGGAACTATATTATTCGCTATTTGATATTCTCTTATTATTTGTTCTTCCACTTCTGGTAAACAAGGTGTATATCTTGCATATTCCATGGTAAATTCTCCTTTCCCTTGAGTAGTAGATCGTAATTCTCCAATATATCCAAACATATTGTTTAATGGGATTTCTGCTTCCAACGCGGTCCATCCGTCGTTGTTATCTGTGTTAAGTAGGATACCATTCCGTCTACTTATTTGTGCCATAACTACCCCCTTTAAGAATAACAATTTAGATTAATATAAATTAAAATTTGTTGTTCCGTAAAAATGGTATACTTTTTTACCTGAAATTCTACAGGAACGGTTATTGACACTAACATAACTGGCTCTAAAACTTGCCACAATCCATTACAATACGACTCTTTCATTGCGCCTTGTCCAGCAAGGAAAAATGCATATTCCGAAGAATCCACACAATGATGCATACCATCTATAAGTCTAAATTTAACACCTGCTACTTTATGACCGGAGAGAAATCCCTTTTCACACATGGTTCTAAAACCTCTTTCTACACCAGGAACAAATTGTTTCGGAATATTTGTTCCTATTGTTTCATCACAAAATATAATTTCGGTATTTTTCTCTGGCGGTAATGGCTAAAAGAATATTACATCATAACTATATAATTATATATAACAATATAATTCAAAGAAAAAGAAAATCATTACCTCTATTACACCAATTACTCGAGCATATTGGCCAGCTCCTCCTGATTGCTTTTTATGAAGATAATCGAATTCGAAAGACTCGCGTATCGTTTCACGAAATGAAACTTTTGGTTTTCCAAGTATAATGGGACAGTTGTATTCACGTTCAAGCCTTTGAGAATAAATTTCTAAATGTAATTCTCCCATTCCAGAAATTAAAGATTCCTAAAACATAGTATAATAAATTTGTTTGTGATGTATTATGCTGTAAGCGTATATGTCGTTGTAATTTTTAACAATTTACCTTGTTGTCTGCATCATAATAGTGCTTTAAAGTAGGATCCTCTTTGGTAAAGCGTGAAATGCCTTTTGCAAAATTCTCTCTATCTTTTGTATTTTTTAGTTTAATAGACATAGAGATTACAGGATCAGGTACATGAATAGATTCCATTGACAATCGTAGATCAGAATCGCTAACGAATGTATCACCTGATGCGCAATCTACTCCAAATAAAGCAAATATATCGCCGGCATAAACTTCGGCTACGTCTTCCATTTGATTTGAATGAAGTCTCACTAGCCTTTGAATTCGAATCTGAAAAATGATACAATTGCACAAAAATTTCATAACTTAAACGCTATTATACTTTAATAAATGAACGAACCTTCTTTTTCATTCTTGTGTTATATAAGGAATCCCCTTTACGTAACACTCCTTGGTAACAACGGAAATAAGTTAATTGGCCAAACTTACCAGCTTCTAATTTAAATGCTAATCCAATAAAAGGATGTTTCTCACTTCTCTCTGAATTTAATAGAATTTTAGTAGTTTCTTTCCTGTAAGTGGCAAATTAATTATCATAAGAAAACACTTTAAAAAGCAAGAAATAAAATATGAAGAAATTTACTCATTCTCTTTAAATGCATAGTTTTCCACTTCTCCGGGATTTGGTAAATAGTTCACAACTGCATCTAATAATGGTTGAACACCTCTATTTTTTAAAGCAGTTCCAACCAGTACTGGTACAAAAGTCCTTTGTATACAACTTCTTCTAATAGCATTCATTATATCTTTTTCAAGTATTTGCGTTTCATTTAAATACATTTCTCCAAGTTTTTCATCAATATTGCACAAGTTTTCAATTAATTCTTGTCTTCTATCTTGTACCTCTATAGATGTAAAATATGTAGTTTAGTTAGAACAAATAATGTTCTTACTTATATTAAGATATTATTATGTATTATGTTATATTTAGAAAATTATACCTGTTCTCATATTTGATGGAATTTCATCTTCTCTTACAATTTCACCAAAGTTTCCTTCAAAGTATAAAGCTTTTTGATGAATTAAATCTATTATTCCTGTATTATTACTTTCTAAACCAATAGGTAACTGAAGTAATGCAGCATTGAGATGTAATTTTCCTCTTAATTGTTCTAATGTTCTTTTGTAATTAGCACCTAATCTATCCAATTTATTAATAAATGCTAAACGAGGTACATTATACCTTCTCATTTGACGATCTACAGTTATGGTTTGTGATTGAACACCACCTACTGCACATAATACTAATACAGCTCCGTCTAAAACACGTAAAGCACGCTCTACTTCCACAGTAAAATCAACATGGCCAGGAGTATCAATAATATTAATATTATGATCCTTCCATAAAGTATAAGTTGCAGCAGATTGAATTGTAATTCCCCTTTGTCTTTCTAATTCCATACTGTCCATTGTTGCTCCAACATTGTCTTTACCTCTCACCTATTGTAATCATTATATATAATCATAATTGTTTATATAATTATTGTACTGTATAAAAAATCAAAATTAAGATCACTTGTTTTTCACCTCATGCATTTTAGCTATTCTTCCAGTATAAAACAGAATACGTTCAGTCAAGGTGGTTTTTCCAGAATCAATGTGTGCTGATATACCAATATTCCGAATTTTTTCCAAAGGTTTATGTTCTGCATATTTTGCAAATGAAGATAAACATTGCAGGCCATTCTATTTGATGAACAATAAAAAGAATTAATTGTACAAACAATTTTTAGTAATTGTTTCCTAACCTAAAATTTTGACTTTACCTTCAGAATGTAAGAACGATGACATAATAATTTTAAATTGATGTCGTATCTTAGAGCTGTCATAATAGACATAGTAACTAATTATTTTCTACACGTTAATAAATAAAAACTATTTAGAACTTGATAAAATTAGTATTTGATGGAAAGTTTAATGCTTCATATTCGAACATAGTCAAACCATAATCGAACGAAGTCAAACCACGTTTTTATTATCGATTGAAATCACTATAAGCATAGACGAGGTATATGAATAGACCAAGCATCTTATGGGATTTCGTGGCCCGTGTTCTGAAATACCGACATCCTAAAAAGTCAGTGGTTTTTTTAAACGCACTTTATGTTTAAACACCTTGGCTGAAAGTATATAACGCAAAATTAAAAAATAATTCTAAGGAAAATTGTTTTTATTATCTTTTATAGAATTACATATTTTATTATTTCTTCACATCGTCATTATATGATTTATCTTAATATAAATAATGCACATTGTAAACATATGATTGTAATTTTATTAAAATGAAACGTAAAAAGCTTATTTAATTCATATATTAAAATGTTTATATGCTACAAATATTTACATTGAGCTCATGGAAAGTAATTATTTTAGTAAAATTTTGCATTTAGGCAACTGCAATTTTCATTCAAATTTTTACATTGCTTTTATTTTATGTAATTATGTATGTGCTAAGATGCACATATATTAATCATTTTTTTTTTTTTTTAAGTTTACAGAGAAAAAAAGTTGTGCGCCAAAATGTATGAATTTATAATCTCTTTCCTAATGCTGAGACATATATGTCATTCAACTTTAATGATTATATAGATAAGATTTAAATACAATTTAAAAATTTCTATTTAAGAAGAATTATCTTATTGTATATCTTCTATAAATAAACAACACCAATTTTCTTAATTTCCAATTTTCCAATGTGTACACTTCACAAAAATTATAAATATTTAAGATAACTGGCAATGGAGATTATAATGTACACTTACTATATTTATCAAAATACATTTCTAATGAATTTTTTGTCACTAGTTTGAACATACGAAACATTAATGTTAACACTGATATAACATTCATGAATAAATATTTGTTTTGCAAAATGATCCTTTAAGCATAAAATATACTTGTAAGGATTAAGTAATTAATAAGAATTATTAAATAGCCCCTTTAATACCTTAATATTATTTGAGTACATATTTTTTATTTGTTTTTCCCTCTTTTTTAAATATTTTAATTTTCATAATGCATTTCCATTAAGAGTAAAAAATCTGACTTATTTACGTATATTTTTCTGTACATACACATATGGAAGCTGTTATAATACAGCCCTGTTTATGCTTATTTCTAAAATCTTTACAAATACTTTAATACTATACTCGATTAAAAGCAAGTAACATTTTTAGTATTAAATTTAGTTGGTGAATGTTTGTCATCGCTGTCACCAAGATCCATACCAAATGGTACCGAATTCCAAATTGCTTTATCATTTCGGTCGTCTTCTTCGGTTAAAATATTGCACATCATACGATCGTCGTAAAGAGAAAATCTAGCAGTTGATTGTCCACGACCGCGTATTTTTCTTACGGAAGGTGGTAAATCTCCGGGCGTTTTTATTCTCATATGCGGATCTTTTAATACATTTACATTAGATCCCACGTTAAAAACTTCGTTGAATTTATCGATGCTTTCCTGCCTACTTATATTCTCACTTTTTTTATTTCTTAGATTTACGAGAGGCAAGGTAGAAGGTCGAGCATTTGTATTATCATGATCAAATTTCTGTTTACCAATTTGTATAGCATTCTTATCATTTTTATCTAACGCAGGAGTAAAAGTAGGCGTTTTTGTAATAATACCATTTACATATTTCCCTGCTGGAGATATTGTTACATTAGTTTCTACAGTTTTGATCTGTACGTTTTGTTTCGACAATAAATTAGATTTAGAATCCTCTCGATCTATTTGATATTTGTATGGATACATCTTTTTGTTAACAAGCAATTTTTTAAAATTTGACCATCCGAACAATTTTTTTCTGGGACTATCTTGCGAACAAATTTCATGTACATTTGTCTGTTTTCTTTTACCATACGATGATGTACCATCATCTGAAATAACATTTTGGACGTATGGTATAGGTGTAGCTGGTCTTAATTGAGCTAATTGCGTCGTGTGCTGACTCAGATAATCATGAGAAACAAGTCCTTGCGCTTCTGATACGATTCTGTACTGATCATTACATGTATGTTTCATAGATTTATCAACGAGTACATTACCATTGCACCCTAAATCTTCAAGTGAATCTGACTGTAACATTAAATTTCTTTCCATACAAGGATTTCGTCCTTGATAAGGTTGAAGTGTTTGAGTATGATTATATATTGCTACTTCATTTGAATTTTTAACTAAAATATAACAAACAATTACGTGTATCGGTTCAATAAATTTTTAAATTTATACTGTAATAGTAATAAAATACTTACAACTATGCTCGTGGACAATACTTTCAGAAGGTGATAATGTTACCAAATTTTCAACAATACCACCTTCGTTACTTGAACCATCTTGCATTGTATGCGATGCAAATTGAGTGATGTGAACATTGTCGTGATGCGAAGATTCGTTATAAAGGCTGTTTGTAGTTGAAGGCACTAGAGTACAATGAGAGTTTACCATTGGACTTCCATCAGTGAAATGCATTGTTACTATAAGTTTGTAAATTATTTCTTTTTTAATTTTACTTTAGCATATATTTTATTTTATTTTTTTAATATATATTACGTAACAAAATTTACCTCGATGAGATTGTAATTCTGAAAGGCGTTCTTCTATACATAAAGCAGTCAATCGAGCTTCTGCATCTGCATCCCAACAATCTTCCATTGTTTCTTTAATTAAACGTACTCCGGGCCTGTCTACTAAATTACCTTCTAATAAAGGTCTTGCTTTATTGCGGGAAACTAGAACTTGCATTTGTTCAAATGTTGGATGAAGACCAATTTCTTTCTCATATGGTTGTCTATAAGGAGGTACTTCTGATCCTAGTACATAAATATCTGTGCATCTCGAAACTAATTCCCATAAGACTAAGCCCATTGCATAAACATCTATTTGTTTTAAAGAGCTTTCACAATCTCGTAAATTTACAGCGCCTTCCAATATTTCTGGCGCCATATATCTCAAAGTACCGACCTAATATAAGGTTTAAGGATATAATTATAAATTATCTGAATTATTTTATATTCTTTATACTTAAATTATTAACTTACATCGTTGATTGATTTTATTTCAGCATGTTGGGCTTCTCCGTTTGAGTAGTATTTAGAACCAGAAATTTGAACTGCTAATCCTAAATCGCATATACAACAAGTACCATCAGCTTTGATTAATATATTTCTTGAATTAATGTCTCTGTGTGCAATGCATGGTTTAGATTTATCTGTAATTTCATTGAGTTTAGAATAATCTTCACTATGTCTTAAAATATTTTTGTCGTTGTTACTTACCTCCTTTGTGTACGTCAGTGTGTAAGTAAGCAAGTCCTTTTACCATAGAAAGACCCATTTTACAAAATGTGGTCCAATCGATTGTATGAGTTCTCAAAAAATCTGTTAAAGTACCACCTGGTGCAAAACTAAGTACTAAAAGATACTCAACACTACCTTCCATACTGATTCTTTCATCAACACCTAGGTAAGAATCACGAATATTTAAATAAATAATAGAATATTATTTAAAAACCAAGGAGAATATTAACCGTAATAAGTTAGAAGAGATGGGTGTTCCATAAAGGGAAGACAATAAGTATCTCGTTCGTTTTGGAAATAGTTACGATAATGGGAGGGGAATATTTTTACAGCAACATCTTGATCTCCCATACTGCCTTGCCATACAGATCCATAGCGTCCTTGTCCTGTAATTACATATTGTATTATAATTACATAACATATTATTTATGCGTTATATTATTATTTATTTCTATATTATATTTTTATTATTATATATTTTTATATTAATATTTATTTCTACATTATACTTTAATTTTTTAATTAATAAACATACCTACGATTGTTGTAAGTTTCAAATGATCAACTGTATAAGTACCAGTTCTTAGTGCCGTACTATCCATAAACTGATCAGTATAGGAAAGTGGTTTTCCTAATCTTGCTAACATATTGGTGTGATATATACGATATACCATTAAAGCTACAATATATATTGCTAATAATACACAGAGTAGAACGCTTGTTATTATAACAATCCATTTTCCAGAATCTGATTGTTCCAAATACTCATTTGCTGCAAGATTGCACAAAATATATTATAATGAAATTATAAATTGATACAGAAATTTCTTATATAGCTGAGATTTACCTGGTTTATTATCTTCTGCAGAAATAGAACTATGTGCATTATTCTCAGAATATAAGATGTTAGTACTGTTGATATTAAGATTGCAATAATCTCCATGACAGCAACAAAATTTTGTATTGTTCAATGCTTTAGTAGAACGTTGAAGGGCAATGCATTCTGTTGTTTCACATTTTTGTTCACCAGACTGTTTCCAACAACCTAGATTATCAAACACAAAAAGATATAATAATTATACATTATAATTTATTAAATAAAAAAAAAAAAGAATACATATATACCTTGGGATAAAATGGTAATTTTTGTTCCATTTGCAGTCTTTTCTTCTTGCCATAAAGCATGGCAAAAATTAATACAGTTTTCAAATTTAATATTATTATCCTTTTATAAAAAAATTTAATTATTTTAGTTTAATTTATTTATTAACTAAATTATTTATATAAATATACAATATAATTAGGACTTACTGCAGTATGAATTATATTACTGTCATTGAGTAAATCTTCAGGTACACTAGTTATATTTTGTTTTAAGGTAAAATTTTTATTATCCTTTCCTCTGCTGGCACATATTTTAATGGCACTGATGGGTACTGAGTTTATCCCATATAGTAGCACGATCAATGTGATTGATACAATGGCTTTCATTGTGCCTCAGCAGGCCTCTTGAACTTGAACACTTCAGAGGAAGCGTTGCTTCTCAAGAACTAGCATCTTTGATTATAACATCATGTATTGCTGCCATGTGCATAATGAATTCATCTGTTTGTTATATATTTATATCATGTAACACCATAGTAATACCATGAGATTTTAAACTAGCAGATATTTTGGTAAAAAAGAACCACTTCATTTATTAAACAAACTGCTTGAATATTTTAAAAACATATAATTGATTCAAATGCTAATAAATGGAAGAAAATAGATTCAGTATGCAGAATATTAATGTATTACAAATTTCTATTTTGTAGGAAGAGAATTTTATTAGTACTGTAAATATTAATAAATGCTAGAAATTATCCATGAATTAGATTTTTACGTAAAAATGATCAGCGGTAAGGAAGCATAAAAAAGAAATGATCGCGAAAAAATAGTGCTGTACAATTACATGAAAGAGATTGAAATTTTCACACAGTTGCATATGCTGTGCATGTATGTAGATGTATATAAAAAGAATCGCAATACATGTTATAAAAAAATGAAGAATTACAAAATCAAAAAGAAAACTCTCGTACGAGGCATCGCAAGCAAATTAAAAGAATTTTACTTACATTTTATGGAGTAGATTTTTTAAGTCTTTTAGTTGAGAATTTCGGAAAAATATATTTGGTACCAATAAAAACATTGCACATATCCACTTAGTATCACTTAAATTCTTTTTTTTTTTTCTTCTTTACAATAAATGTCGAATCAACATTAATACATTTGACAGACAACCCGTATCCATTAAATTGTAATTCATTCATGTGTTCGCAAAGACAACCTAAAAGAGATCTGTATTACTCCAAAGGCAATATCATTTGCATTGATATTGCATATTATGTAAAATCTATATAAGAATTAATTTATAAAATCTTTGTAATTTTTAGTTTTCCTTTAATTGTTGATGTTCAATGTGACTTAAATATATTTTTATTTAACTATTCAATAATCAATAAATATACAAAATTTTACAAAAAATGAAGAGGAAAATGCATTTAAAATTTTTTTTGTGCACAGAATAAATTACTTTGTTTCGTATGTTAAGTAATTTAACAAAGCGATTAAAGTTTTTAAAAAGAAAATAATTGTACTATCGATATAGTCGAAGACAACCAATGAACGATTCAACTTTACTAGAAGGAGTTCTCAAACTACATTATTTAGAGTTCGTGAGTATTCGTAACTAAAGACTCATGAATTGGCGCGCAGCGTCTTATTCTGCGTGTTTTCTATATTACATCGTGCAAATGGTGGCTTTCGTGATGTTTTGTTCAATGTTTCTTTGTTCAAATTAACCAGTCTTTATTGTACGTCGTGTTTAACAGAAATAAATACAGGATTTGGTGTTTGCTTTTCAACTTGAAAAAGCTTATCATCAATATGGTGAAGCTTCACAAGAAATTTTTTGCGGGTGACAAGGTTTTCGCAAAAGTTCGAGGTTATCCACCGTGGCCAGCAAAAGTAAGTTTAGCTGTATATTTCAGAATTATTTATTTGTAATTTTATTGAAAATACGAAGGATTTACATCATGAATACTAGCGGCAGTAACATTTTCAATCTTAGTCTTATTGTCTTTTGTATATTGTACATTAAGGCTGGATATTGCATTATCAATGCATTATTCTCAAATTATATTGACATAATTATATACGATAGTCAAAACATTCTTAATTTAACAGATTATCGTATATTGTTAAAATTATAATTTCTGTTTTAATTTCAAAATATTTTTTTTTTTACTTTTTTTTACTTTTAACAAGGAAAAAATGATTTACTCATATATAGTTTTGATTGAAATACATTGATAAGTTTATGTCATAGTCAATTTGCACTAAAAAACATATCACAAGATTGCATCATTCTTTCCTTTTCAGGTTGAAAGAGTTATTGATCCCACTTCAAAAAATTCAAAGTATAGCGTTTATTTCTATGGCACAGGGGAAACGTAAGTTAAATATCTGAAACATTGTAATATCACTAAAAGCTACAGATGGCAATAATATTTTAAATATTTTATTTTAGAGCTGTGTGCAAAGTGGAAGAATTATATACTTATGTAGAAAATAAAGCAAAATTTGGCAAACCACTCAGAAGGAAGTTTTTTCACGAAGGTTTAATACAATTAGAGCAAGAACTTAAAAATGACAGAAATAAAGCATCAAATCTTGATGATCTTAAAGGTAAATATTATTATATACAATTTAACTGTGTAAAATATTTTTATTTATAATTTCCACATAATTAAAGAAGCTGGAATTGGTGATGAAGCAGCTAAAGAAGGTGATACAAATTTACCAACAGTCAGTGCTGCAGACAGTGATACAGAAACAGGCCTTGTTATTGACCAGGAGGAGAAAAAGAAACCTATGAAAAGGAAGACTTTTTCTGCTGCAGTAATATATTTTAAAATTTATCTTTAATTATATGTACATTTAACCTTGCATACAATAGTTAGGATGTTTTACTCTTATATTGCAATATTGTATAAGAAAACAATTATTGAATTGAGTACTCCAATAGTAACTTAGGAATTGCCGACAAATATTTATCAAGGTTGAATATTTTGTGCGATTGTTCCTTACATTTATACAAAATTTTTATTCTAAGAATAAAGTTTACTATATTGTATCATGTCATATTAAAAAAATTCTGGAACATTAGGATAGACCTGAGGTAAAAAAGAGACGTGGGAAAGCGAAGTCGTTATCTGCATCTACAAGTGATTCAGTAAGACAAGAAGCATTGGATTCTCAAGGAGAAGAATCACCAAAAGAAGTTGTAAGTCGCAGTGGTAGGAAAATTAAACCCAAACGGTTTGCTGATTTTTCAAGTTCAGAAGAGACAGATAATACAACAGATAAAAGTGGTACGTATCAATACCTAGTATTTTCTAATTTTTATTAATAAGTTTTATACATTATAGAACATGGAAGAGGTCGTTCTAAAGCTAAAATTGAAGATTCCACTGATCAAGTAACACCTAGTGTAATGCATAAAAAAAGAGTTACTATGGAAAGTAAGTATACAACAATATGTAGTTAATATTGAATTATCTAAATTTAAATATCATATATTTCACATACAGAAAAAAATAATTTAGATGAAGCACCCATATTGGAAGGTACTGTAGTTTCTGGTACCACATCATCAGACACCCCGGGACGACTTCTTTTGGCTTTGACATTTGCTGGTGAATATGTAGGAATCAAATTGGACATGGATAAACCAAAATCTTTTGAAAGTGAAAAAGCTCAAAAACAATGGGATTGGTCTACTGCTAGAAATGCCATGAAATTGAAAGCACAATTGGAAAGCGGTGAAATTTTACCAGAACAAGTAAAAGATTATTTGGATTTTAATGTACATGTTCCAGACGAAGAAAAACGATTATTAGCAAAGGACGGGGCACTTCATCGTAAAACGAATAAACTAAGGTAGTAAAAGTAAAAAGTAATATTAATTTAATAAAGTTTTTAAATTTTTAATATGGATATTAAATTCCAGATGGCTTCGTATAGAAGCACAACTTTTACAGTTGGACGCTCAAATTAAATCTAATCTCGGATTAGATCGAGCGTATCCCGATAAGTGTTTACAAGCAATGGATGATATGTTATCACTTTCAATTGATCCTTTAATGTTGAAAAAACATCCTCATATTGTGGGAACCGTTAAAAGGGTAAACAAATATTTCTTATCGCTCTAGTATTAATTAATGAACCGTTCATTAATTACTTTTTTAATTACTTCTTATTAACCTAGCGTTAATTACTGATTAAATACTGATTTTCAGTTGCGTCGATATATTGGTAATTTAGCCGATTGGAAATTAAACGATGAAGAGGAGGTAATCTTTTTTTTATTTTTTAAAAATAAATTACAATTTCTAGTATAATATTTTTTACATTTTTTCTCGAAATTTATTTATAGGCTATTTTCAAACAAAAGGCAGAACAAATTAGACAAAAATCTGAACATATATACAACAAGTTTAAGGTAATTATGTTTAATCACACATTTAAGATATGTATATGATATACAGAGTGTTACCGGATGAGTGGTACCATCGGGCAGGTGATGATTCTACATGCGAAAATAAGTCGAAAAAAATGAATAACATTTTTTGATTTGAAGCTTTGTTTACGAGAAAATCGAGTTTGAATGTTGTTACATGCTCGTATGTAGTATGATCATTTTCGTTTATATCTTCACATTCGTTGTCTTCTGTAATGTTTATATTCTGTCTTTGGTCATATGGCTACCAGCTACTCTTATTGTTAGTCTGTTTGTATCAGTCGTTTTGTAACAATGTCTTGCTACAGCAATCGTGAATACGTTGACATGGTGAAAGCGTTAGGAGCTTGTTAAAGAAATAGTGTATACTGAAACTAGTGAGAATCTTTCACAGCTAAAGGAAAAAATAATGCTTTTGATCAAGTAAAGCGATGAAATGATGTGGCATCAGTCCATGATTCACTGATAAGAAGAGGTTATGTACATGTCAGCAAACTCGACACTTTCAACAATTCACTTAATGTAATGTAACTAATAATAAACGTATTACCTACACATATTTAAACTCGATTTTCTCGTAAACGAAACTTCAAACCAAAAAATGTTATTCTTTTTTTTCGATTTATTTTCGTACGTAGAATCATCACCTGCCCGATGGTAATACTCTGTATTATACCTGATTGGTACATGCATAAAACATTTAATGTGTGATTACTTGTTTTATTTGTTTATAATTATGTCTTATTTTATCTTTCAAACATATAGGCTATGTTTACTATACCTGAAGGGCAATCATTTTGGCAATCGTTTTCGGATCAAGTAGTCCATTTTAAAGAGTTAACAAAAGATATGCCTGAAGAAAAAGTATTTTCTTTAATGTCTGATCCCGCTTGTCCAGGTACATATATAAAATTTTATATTGTCTAACATGTGATTGTTGCTTTTGGTTGGTTTTGATTATTGAAATTTGATTATTAATTAGATATTTTATATGTAAAGATTTTATTGATATAATTATGCAGTAGTATGGTAATCAGTGTCTTAAACAAGTGTAGAAAATATAATTGTTTCATAAAAGAATATTCATATATAGAAATAAAACTTGTAGATGCAGTTGTATCAGAAGAGTCACCTGCAGATGAAAGTGGTAGTCATCCAGATACAAATGTTGCAGTTAAATCGGAAGTGCCTACATGGAATGAAACTCCAAAAGAATCAGAGGCCAAGTAATATAATAACTTTTTGTATTTGACAATATGAAGATCATAATTAATTTTTTTTTTTTTTTTGTACTAATGTAGTAGATTATACTACGCGAGTGTCTTAAAGTTAAAAAAGAATTAGTTATTTCGCACTTGAATATCACTTTTGGATAAATTTTAACACTATATTTTTTTGTTATCGTGTCTCCTTTTCCTCGCAATATCTATAAATCAGAAAGCCCATAGATAAACAGTTTTTACTCTGTTAAAAAAATTGATTAATTATAGCATACTTAAGATTTAGGATAGATGTCATAATTATTTACTCTATCTGATAACACATTTCTTTAATAATTAAAATTCCTTTTGTGTCGTCAGGCAATACCAAAAAAGAAGAAAATATTTCTAAAGATTATATGAGTGTCTTCACGTTACATTAAACTTGTCTACTTAAGTAACACCAGATACCAATGTGTATATAAAAGAAGGAAAAGTTGGAAACTGTAATACTCCCCTATATGCAAAATTCAGAGATATAATATGTCGTAGAGATTTATAATTAATTGTATGATTTATTGGTTTCAAACTAGAATTTTAATAATACTTATTAGGAATAAAACTTCATATTTTCAATTGCGTTTTCATGGCACTTTAAAGGCATAATTTGAACAATCATTTGAATAAAAATGAGAAAATACGTATCACTTTTTTATATGAAATATTGTTGTATATGAATTAAACATTTTCTAACAATTCAAGATATGTTTATAAAGCTGTTACCATTATCGGATTGTACAAATTAGAAAAATAGTAATTTTTGAATTTCTGAAGGAAAAGTTACAAATTGTAAGTAATTTGATGTGGGGAAATATTCATTTTGAGTAAAATTTTTCAGAGCAAAAATTCTCTGAACTAATGGTTACAAAGTTACGATTGTAAATTATAAATTACATTTTTATAAGAACTAAAGATAAAAAAATAGACAATTTATTTATATTCAGTATCGTTTATGATTCAATGCACAATAATAGTTTAACCTCATTCGTTGTTTCTTTGTGAGGATATTATATTTAAATTAAACATAGTAGCTATCCTAATAACATAATGTACTTTTGTAAACATTTGTCGAAAAAAGGATGTTGTAAAAGTGATATTGTTAATAAAAACAAATTGACGTATTCTTTTTTCAATTGATAAGAAATCCGTTCCCACACCTATTTATTTACTTCTTTGTGTGCATTTTATTTTCCTTTTATATTAATTCAAAAAAATGCCTTTAAAGTGTATTGAAAACGAAAACAATGAAGAAATATTTTCTGTTCCAAGTTTTACCTTATATTTTTAATTAGTTAATATCTTTCTTTTTAAGAAGTAAGTTAAGATGTATTACATATTCTTTAAAAAAAATGGATAAGTACGTTACATATTATAAATATAATATGTAATATAAACATTATAGTTACGAAAGAAATGTTTCTTTTAAATGTCAAGAAGCAAATATTTTGAATAAAAAACTTATTGTAGATTTTTATGGCTCTTCTAGAGCATTTATAAATTTTTCATATAATTTCTATCAAAGTAATCTTTATATTTATAAGTGTTAGAATAAAATTCTAATTCTATAGAATTAATATCGATCGTGTATGCAGTACTAGCAATAAACAGCGTATCGAGTTTATTGCATGCAAAATAACTGCATGTACTTGTAATGCGATTTAATATTTAATGTTGTTTTTGTCACGCAGAACTATAAAACAGACGGTCGTCGTAAAATTGTTGCACTTACGTTTTGTATTATTAGAAATGCAACAATTATTTTTCGTAAATCAATGTTGAAAATGTTGAAACACGGAACCAGTAAATTAAAAATAAAGTGATATTTGCATATACAAGAAAACAAAAAAGAAAGTGCATTGTTCACGAATTCCATGTTCATTTAAAAATAAGTGCAAATATATATATATATATATATATATATATATATAAATATATATTCCTCAGAGTATCTCAAGTTCATATTTTTCGAACGTAGAAGGATGTCAAGCAAATTACATTGGTCTCGAGGTAGGAGTCGAGTGATTTTGTTATTCTTACTCTTTTTTAAATTCATCGGTCTTGCGACGTTTTCTTTAAAAACTCCAACAGTTCCGAAGAAAAAGTGCTCGGGAAACGTACTCGTATTTTTTACCGGGTCTAAACTTGGAGTATTTTACAATTTGATTTGGAGTTTTCTAATAATCGCGTCGAATTTCATCACAATACCAATCTTAAACGACATAGATTATGCTTTCAAAACAATTATAACACAAATATTCGAAATTTCTCAAGTGTTGATGGGTTCTTTCGTAATTTCCTGGATCTTAGTATTTTATTGTATAAACGAGGCAGCTTTCGTAAAGGTCGGAAATTATATAATTTGTCTTGAGGGTGCATTATGTCGATTGCAAAAACCACTCAATTGGAAACACATTTTTTACGTTCTATTCTTTATCTATTTACTACTCTTGGGTTTGTTTGTTGCTCTTCTGATTACTGAAATTATATGTTTTAGCAATTTTATTTCAATCATCGCTGATATCTTACCCATAACTTTTATGGGATTCTTTTTTATTCAATATTTCTCCTTGGTTACTTTAACGAATGCAATTTCTGTAAATGTAAATTGCGCTATACAAGACCTTGGTCGAGCTAAGTTCAATAATACCGCGTTTGATCAGGCTCGACACATGTTTATTAGTTCTTCGAAGATTCATCTTGTTGTTCAAATTCGAGACATTCACGATCAGCTTTATGACATTTCCAATGAAATTTCACGAATATATTCTTTGCCCACCCTCGTTGCACTTCCTTTTACGTTCTACGTATTGTTGTACAACGTTTATTACCTTTTCGAACTGATCGCGGTTCAGAATGTAGCAGCGAATTTTTTGATTTTGATAAATTCTCTGCTTTGGATAATTTGTATATTGTATCCTCTTGGTTTATTAACTTTCAAGATTACCAAAGCTACAAACGAGGTAGGAGTTTGAACATTATTTTCCTTGAAAATAATTATTTTAGATAACCCGCAATTAGTGGATTTTTTTGCAGATCCAGAAAACTGGGAATCTCGTACATACATTATTAAAGTATACGATAGATCGACAAATAAAAGAAGAGGTAAATGATAATTAAACAATATAATCGTTCTAATGTTTTCATTGTCTAACGTTCCAACGTCTTTTAGCTTGAACAATTTTCACTTCAGTTGTTACATCGGAAAATAAAGTTTACAGCGAACGGATACTTCACTTTAGACAATATGTTTTTTAAATCGGTGAGCAAAAAATGGTTGGTTAATTTAATTTCTGATGGCATGCAGTAAATAGTCATAGTGTTTATTTGCTTTTCGTTATTAGATTCTTAGTACGGTGATTACGTATATGGTAATTTTACTTCAATTTCAAGTGGGAAAATCAAATACTTGTCCTTGCAATTGCACACAATCACTGTGAGAACAAAATCGTTTCGAGGATTGAATACTATATTTCGTCTTCGAAAACTTAGGAAAATATTTAGGAAATTTCTGTAAAAGTTCTCTTCCTATATCTATAGTTGATTGAAGTGTAAAAGCATTGCGTGAACATGCAAACGAAGATAAGTCGTGAAATATGAATTTTATGGATAATCAATAATGTATTTGTTTTGTTTTTCTTCTTTAATCAGAACTTATCAGCAATTCCGTCAAAGAGGACTAAAATACATCGATTGCATGCATGGCAGCGAATTATATGATTGCAGCTGATTATATACATTGTTGCTCGCAATGAGTCTCCTCGCGTATATATATACACACTTGCGTCAAAAATGTGTATTACACGAACTATAATCAATATTTAAGAAAGTTTACGCGCGCTTTTATTCATGATGAAAATTGAACAATGTTCAATACGATATCGAGGATAAAGGACTCCGCACTTACATTCTGAACTTATTGCTCTTCGTAACAAAATGTACTTCAACGCTACTTTAGTATCTACAGTAAATTCCTACACTTTCAACTTCGGTATCAATATCTTGATTTTTATCATCAACGGTATTCCGTTGTATGCCAGATAGGAAACTAGATCTTCTAAATAATACGCGATGCAACGCATATTCCATCTTGGAATATCTTTGTAAAAAGTTGCAGCAAATGTGTTCATGGCTCAAAAAAAAAATATATATATATATATATATATATCAATACATATATATCAATTGAGAAATATAGCGGAATACCGTGTCACGTGCATTCACTGTTTTGTTCATTTTCCATACGATCTTTTAAGATAAGATTTTATTTCGCGTAAGACTTACAAAATGGTTGAAATTCTCGTGATCGTGGGAACAATCACTGTTCTCTTACTGGGGAAGTATTTCACACATTGTTCATTTCCTTTAATTAATCACAACCATTTAATACTTATAATGACGATTGTAGTCCATTACCTTATGACTAGACCGCGGATTTTTTTGCATTTACGGAGAACTTGAAGATGCAAAACTACACACAATGCACACAATATGCAAAAATTATATAATTATATAAAATATCCAAAGAAGAAACAATTTCATATTTAAATTCCAATTCTTTAATTATGTTCAAGAAAATTTGGAAATGTACAAGAATCCGCAGTCTATTTATGTTTCCGTATCGGAACAACTCGCACTTTAGATTGATAATTTCTCCCCCATTGCGAGCGTGTACAGATCTGCGAATGATTTTCTTTCTTAATTATATACAAACACACGTAACATCAATACGAACGACTGCTTCGTTTCCTTACTTTGCTATATGTATACGTATAACGATGGAGATGTTTCAATATATGTTGTACAGGAAAAGGCCTATTAATGCCCCTTGCCTCTCTTCGTCGTTAATCTAACAGTGCTTAATTTTCTCACAATCTACGAAGATACGATATATTTGATCGTTCTTCGTGTATCGACGAACTTATCAGCCAGTAAACCTCTCGAGCAAACCTCGAAGATTCTTACTTCAACGTATAATAATTCGACAACGTTTCGTTTGAAAAATATCATATTGAATATTCTCTTTTAAATCTCTTATTAATCGGCTGGTTTCCGTCAGTCTGTGTCGGTCGAAAATCGACGGAGAACAAGAAAAAAAAAAAAAAAAAAAAGAAAAGGGAAAAAAA